CACACAATACAACAAGGCCCGGCGGCCGCGATACCTGGATAACCAATAACTGTGGATGTGCAATCACCCGGGGTTCCACTGGAGACGTTAAGCTTGCAGCTATGCCTACTGTTGCCTGAGGGTCTGTTGTGGTTTTCAGTTTGTTCAGGAGACTGAGATAACCATTTCTGGTCTATAGCATCAGCCAGCCACGCCACATTTAGACTCGGGCACTGACTTTAGGACGTTGAGCCCTAATTCAGATGTCCTACCCTTAATTAATTGTTTGTGACCTCGCAGGTTGCGACGACAAATGTTTATCAACTTGGAATAGCGTCCACCAATCGGATTATGGTACGAGTCAAATAGACGGTTTTCTACTGAAGTCTCGGAGTAGATGACCGTCTGTCTTCATGCGGCGAAGCAGCCCTATTGCTACAGAACTCCCTCAACTGTATCGCCGACTTCCGCAGCATCGCTACCAAAACTAAATCAGCAGTTGCCAACACATGCTCCCCTCACTGTCACAACGCATGCACATCACTCATCGGCACGGCCGGTCACTGGCGAACCAGCGCTCGGAGTATCAACATACATCCACCTAAGTTGCCAATACGAATGAAGATGCTAGTCCCAGGAAGTAATTGAAAAGACGACTCGATCGCTGGGACAAAATTGTTTATTCGCCTTACGTTTCGATATCCGTCGCGGATTCATCATCATCTCTGACTATGTCCCTGATGACTAATCCGCGACGGATATCGAAACGTCAGGCAAATAAAAGTATAGTCCCAGCGATCTAATCGTCTTCTTTTCAATACACCCACCTACACTGTGTATATACACCCAGTCACCGTATAAACCTATTCAGCAACACGCGTCTCCAAAATTATTTGTGGTGGCGAACGAACGTTTTCGATTAATTCATCATCAGGCAAATACAATAATATAAGGAAGGGGACAGTTAACAAAAGTTTAAGCAACCAATTAGCAGTAATTAGGGGGAGAGGGGGGAAATGTTAAAGGATCAAAGGGAAG